AATGTTCACTCGTACAAATATTCGTAGTTTTAATATATAATAATGACATAGTCTGAAATACATTAGCTATTTAATCTGCCGTGTGTTTCTAGGTAGTATTTTTGAAGACTCTTGCTATATTAAAACTGTATCTAAAACTCCATATGTTATTAAGTTATTACCAGCTAACTGACCCGCGCAACTTCGTATTTTTCTTTTTCGACAACACTACCATGATCTGTGTTCCTTTTGTATCGGTTATACGAATACAGCCTCGGTACGTTTTCTAGTTCACCGTGTTTCATTTCTTTATAATTTCCATGTTAGTAATTATAATATTGCATCTCATTAATTACCTACAAAAGGAATAAATTTTCCCGTTTTCGCAAAAATTTTCATTGATACGCGGCTCCTATTGGTCGTATGACTTTATATATCCCTCCTCGATAAAAGGGCTATCCAACGCTAAAAGATTTTTTCAAGTCGAACCAGTAGCTCCTGAATTTACCCCGATCATAAAAACTCATAAATTTTACATCTTTATAATGTTAGTATAGATTTGGTATGGCATTATTTGGCAGGAGAATGGACAACGGCAATTTCTAAAATAACGCTCCCGAAACAATTCGATTCAATTTAGTTACATATATTATCACTTTTCTTTCATTAACATTGTTTTATACTTTTACTTTTTTCCTTTATTAATTTATTAAAGTAGGGATTTCTTCTATAACTTGAGTTTTTTTTTTTCTTTTTTAAAAAGACAACTCCCGCATTAGGAATATATCCCGTGTCGCGGGGGGCTTTACAAACATACATGAAACGGACACAAAGAACACCCAGACTCAGAACAACAATTTGTGGATCACACAAAGTGTCGTCCCATGTGGGGTTTGAACCCACAACCCTCGGCGCAGTAGGAAGCGGCGTGGCGACCACTTAAACCACTGCGCTATCTGTGCAGTTGGACCAAATGATATGATAACAAACATTTTCAAAAATCATATCCAACTCACTGAAAACGACCTTGATCCGATCTAAAGTCGTACACTCTAAAGGCCTATTAACCGAACCTCTTCATGAGAAATTAGCCAAGTTCCCGGGTGTCGGGGCAATTTCGTTGGCACTGGCTTGTTGCGTGCTATATTGATGTAGTCTTATTATCTACAGTAACCTTGCACAGAGGAATCGCGTGGGACTCTTACGGTGATTTACTGCTTAACAACCTTGTATAGGCTGTATGTTATACATTTTTTCTTGAAAGGATATTCGAACTCTGTATAAAAGGATAGGTTCCCAACAAGTTTCAGACCTAATAGCTCTTTGTCAAGTGGTGAGGCGACTTTCCGAGTCGGTGTTACACTATACTGGCGCTACACTATACACATCACGTCATCACATCAACAGGATTTAATAGTCCACTGCTGGACATAAGCCTCTCCTTGGAAATGAGATTTTGGCCTACGGGTTTGTGTCAAGTGTTGTCTTGCGTAGTTTGCTCCCTTAGTCGGCACTTACGACACTCACGGAATGAATAGCATAACTATATATAACACTCCATATTCTTAATCAGTCACCACACGAATGCCATATACCACTTTACACATAGTAAATTAAATTATTATTGGAAGTGAATTATTAATTTCAATTAATATGCAGTCATTGAAGATGAACTTTTCACAAAACAGGAACGACAGAACACTGTTGGACCAATTAATTCCAATTTGTCATTTTTAATTGTAATTATTGGAGAATGATATCGAATGAAGTGAATGACAAGTAATTACATTATTGCAGAGCTCTGGAAATTATTTCATTTATTGATACCTTCAATCATATAGATTTCATCTGTGCGTCTAAAAATTGCTTCAAGTAACTGTGCTCAAATGCAATTGTAAACACAGTTGTACTATTAGATGTATGTTATTGAAAATGCATATTATATATATTTGCAATTGAAATGTTCCTAGTGATATTTGTATTATTAAAATTAATTTAACCACGCAAATCGCTTAAAATGATCGAGCTCTTTAGAAGACATATACCTGAAACCCTTATTAAGCTTTGCTGTAACCAAACAAACATATGGTTAAATTTGACCTATTGGCAATAATATTTAATTATGTTTTATTTCATTTTGATAATTTTATTCTAAAAATTGACTCTTGCACAGAAGAACGAACGATACTGACAATGTAAGCATAATAACAATTCACATTCAAACGCCATCTAAGCAGAGCTAAATTCTAAACAGAGTTTGTAATGTGAAAGCTAGATTTACTGATAGAATACATACATACGAGTAATATATAAACAACATAAACAACGTAAACAACATAAAAAACAACGTAACAACCTCTTGCGTGAACCACAAAAAGAATCATGGTGCTCCTATCAGGGACAGGAAACCACACCGACAGGCATAAATTTAACATGTAAATTCTCATTCACAATATTCCTGACAAAAGAACAAAATGACACAATTATTTTATTTTTAGCAACAACTTAACATGCAAGCCGAATAATTTGATCAATTGTACAGACAGATACGTTGGCCGACAAAAAATACGACGTCCTGTACTGATTCATTTATTATTGTTAAGGTACAGGTAACAAGTCAATTTATATGTGCGCCCCTCCAACTGTACTGGAATGGCATACAGAATGAATTGTGGCGCTCTGGGGTTGGAAAATAGTTTTCTATTTTTCGGTTGAGGTACAATTAACAAACCCGAGCATATCGCTGGTATTGTTGAAGAAGAAGTTGATAATAGCATAGGCCATAGTGAATTTTTACAACGATGATTTTTGGAGTGTTTCATTCTTCCGGTGGTGTTGTGTTCGTTTCGAAATGTCTAATCTGAATGTGATTTCTTGCTATATTTTGATCCAAATAAATTCAGAGTTTTGTGAGAGTTATCTTATTTATTTTGTGTAATCCCCGACTATCTGACCAAAAATGGGATCGATTTCATGATGACGGACAAAAACCACAAATTCAGAGACGTCTCCGTGATCGATAGGTTTAATACTGGTAGCGATCACCGACTTGTCCGAGGCTCCCGGAATATCATTTTTAAATATCATACATTTTTTGACTGCGTAAAAATCTAAGCGTACTTCTACAATTATTTCCAAATTTTAATTTTTATAAGTTTCAAATACCCAGTGTCATATATGACGAATCTAACGATAGGTGTCTTTGAGCAAAAATCTACCAAACCGTTTAAACCACAGAGCGTTCCAATAAAATATAGCTAACCCTTTTTCTTTGGCAGTCGGGCAATTAAAAATAAAAGATGTTTTCATACTTTTATAATTTATTACTTGTACCCACATTTTTGTTCAAGATATGCAAAAATAATCAAGCATTATATTTTATGTTTTAATGTTGTCAAATTAAAAGTCAAGATTCGTCAAATGATAACGCTCACTTAATACCTAACGTGACTGAGATAATATCTACCAATCTATAATTCATGACTTAATTCAATATAAACAATAAATTCTTACCTTGCTCTTTAAAAGTACTATTTTTAAACTTAATACTATTTATTTTGGTAAAATTATTTATCATTTAAATTATATGCATCTTGGTCTGGAATAATGGTTTATTATTCAATAATTATATATGTGAATTAAGAGTTCCTAACCATTCGTTAAAAGTACAATCGTCATCATCATCATCAGCCTTTATTAGTCCACTGCTGGACATAGGTCTCTCCTTAGAAAGGAGGTTTTGTCCGTGTGGATTCTTAATCCGTCATAAGAATACGGAGTGTCACCGCCCCTATCCATCCCGATGGTGCCGTAAGAGCCGCCAAAGGAAGCAAACTACGCAGGACAACAGCACTGCAAAGAGACGGAAAACTTGAAACAAATCCTATACCAACCCGTGTGGCCAGCGTGGTAAAGTAGGCCAAAAGTACAATATGAAGTGATAATTATAACATTAAAAAGCTCTTGTAGGTAGTCGCTTTCTATCAGGTGACCCGTCTGCTCGTTTGCCCCCTCTTCCATAAACCAAAAAAAAAACATGATTATTAGCTCTCACAAACACTATTACTAGTAGATCTTTGCTGTCTCATGCTGTGATGTTTTTATCTGTTTATGTTTTTCCATTGTTTTGTGTGTATGCTGCACTGTGTAATAGTATAAAGACAATTATACTTTAAATTCGGTTACAATAACCTCTGCATAAAATTAATTATTCACAGATGAACCCGCAAGAAGAGTTTATCTGTGGATCTGGGTGTGTTTCTGTAGCATCATAGCTCCTAAACGAATTGATTGAATTTGATTTAGTTTTAATTGTTTGACAGATTTTTCGAAACAGGTCTATTTTTTGTATCCTTTAATTTATTGGTATCCTCTGTTTTTTTAACTTTTATTTATGCTTATATTGGGTTTTTCAATTTAAAAGACGACATTCGTGAACAAACAAAGCGCTAGTAATCCGTGTACAAATCGGTGAAGTTAAAAACAAATTCAAGTTTTTTAAGCCATTCCCCGGACTACAAACATAGATAAATCGGTAGCATTCATCTTGTTGCCTCAGCTTTTTATCATTCCCAACAAAATTACATTGCCACACCTACAAAATCACAATGTTTTAATACCCTATAATTCACACTAACCGTTATATTGTAGAAAACAGTAACGTTCACTGAATGGTGTGCACAAACGCGATTGTATGCTCCTTAACACCAACCCGGCCGGTTTGAAAGGCGCACTCGACGTACGTAAACATAAACATTTTCGCGGTATATTAAATTTCGCCGGGTAAAGTTAATTACTTAATTTCGGTTAAGGGGCATTCCGCCTTGATTTATTAGCATAATTTAGTAATTAAGTACGTATGACATCAGGTCCGTTGATCTAGATAGGCGTATGCAAATGTGGAAGGGTACTTTATTGTCGTATTATCTTTCATATTACTTTTTTATACGAGCTAGCTAATTAGTTAATTTAAAATTCAAACAGCTTAATGTTTGTCAAAAAATAAATAAAAAAACGATCAAATGACAAGTCTAAAATTTAAAAAAGAGACGTCATTTATGGGTTCGTTACGATAAAAACTCTCACTCGCTCGCTCGCTTATTTTCGATTTATTATCACAAGTGTCCGTGTGGTGACGGATTAAGAATACGGAGTGTCACCACCACCATTCCGTAAGTGTCATAAGAGCCGACTAAAGGAGCTACCGTAGGACAACCAGCACTGCAAAGAGAAGGAAAACTTGACACAAGCCCTATACCAACCCGTCTGGTCAGCGTGGTATAGTAGGCCAAAACCTCCTTTGTAAGGAGAGGCCTAAGGCTAAGGTCCAGCTGTGGACTATTAAAGGCTATTGATGTGTGTATGATGATCACAGGTATTAGGTTGTATTTCTTCTTGGTGGTATGATTTACTTTAAAATAACTATAATTTAATACCATGATTGTAGTTAAGTAACTAATTAGTATACATACAGTTTATAAACACAAAACCCATCTTTTAGTAGGAATAACATTTAATGTCGTTTATATGTCGTAACTTTCTTATATCAGGTAATTTTATGGTGAAACTCGTTTCTGGTGGTTGCACGAAGATTACTAGTCTATATATACCTAATTAATAACTATGCTTAATTAGATCCTCATCAGCTGGATAATTGGCGTTCCACTACTGTTCGCTTTTCGAGACACTTTGCCCCGCACAACCAATCTGTGGAGTCGTCGAGCTCGTCTGCGGTATTTCCGGACCGATACGACCTACAAACTCCTTCCTAAAAGGCCGGCAACGCGTTTGTTACTCCAGAGTTGCAGACGTTCATGGGCGGCGATGGTCACTTTCCATCATGTGACCAGTCTGCTTGTCTGCCCCTCTAACATAAGAAAAAAAAAAAACATATAGAGGAACTTATAATATCTAATATAACAAATAAAAGACTCTCATATACTAACTTATCGCGTTTTTTTATAAAATAATACATATCGTGAGCGCGTTAAATCCTGTAAACGTACTTTTATAAGACTTAAATATTTTTATAAATGTATGAATGTGTATAATTCTTCTGTGCGCGTGGATGTGATTAAACTCTTCCTCAACGGCTGAACCGATTTTAATGATTTTTTTGTGTGTGTTCAAGTGGATTCGAGTATGGTTTAGATTCACAATTCGGTACTAATGTAAAAAGCGTTTTACATTAAAAGTTTTTATTTAAAGACGTGTGTCATGTCCGCTAGTGTTTTTATATAATACTAACTTTTCCGCGTTCCTCAAGAATCAAAGTATCTCCTTGACAAATTTTATTAAACTCGGTTCAGTTTTTTAACAGACAGTTGCAGTATTTATAATATTAAGTAGGTAGTAACTTATGATGTTACATATAGGAACAATAAAACTATTCAGTATAGGTATAAAAATACAATGGTAATTAAACCAAACTCACAGAATAGCGAATGCATAATCTATGTTCTATCTGTGTCATCTGTGACAACAATATCGTCAACACATGAAAGACATATAGAGGTATTAAAATAGCTTGTGGGTACAAACGAGGGTCTTGTTATGCTCCATTGTGATCACATTACCAGTATTAGTGGTAATGAAAGCAATAATCTAATGATTACAATACAATGGTGTGTGTCGACGTATTCTTGACTGCATGAATAAGTAAGATCCGATTGTATTCGTGAGAATACTTCAGCTTTCTTCCATCGGTGGACTGTTTCACTAGATTGGATTTTGAGTTTGATTGTAGCTAAACTTAGATCTTTTGTGTTGTTTCTGTTATCATATCGAGGAACGGTGGACCGCAGTGAGACGTGTTTTCAAATTCAAAATTCAAAGTTCAGTTCTTATAAAAAAAAACTCAGTGACCTTCCCCCGGCATCGCACACAAAGTACCAAATTATGCCCATTTGTTTTCTACTGCTGCATGAATAAAATTAGATTTATATGAACCATAATATGTTTAAAAGAACATTTTTCCGGCATGTTCAACAATATTGTCATATTTCAAACAATTTACATCAAACCATTACATACTCGTATTTAATATCTAAACCTTCCTCAGGAATCAGTCTTTCGTTGGTTGAAAACCGCATCAAAATTTATTAGTAAATAGTTCTTGAATTTATCGCCAAACAGAAAGGCAGACGTTGCGGGGGACTTTGTTTCATAATATGTCTATATGCTGAACACTTATTAGAAATTGGCAATTAGAAGATAAGCTATTAGAAAGTATAGATCAAGAAACAGAGTTACTTTACCAATTGATTTGCCCAGTCATATGTCTGTATCGATCTATACACATAAAACCGCCCACTTTCGAGTGGTTTCGCTTTATGTATGCATTGGAAAAATAAACTCACAGCCATTAATTTCAATCATAAAATATTTATGTACAGTTTTATACGTTAAAGAGTTGTGAAACAATTAATATCTTAATCATGAACGAACTGACATTTGACATACTTTGCTTCGACAATCAGTTGCTTTAAAAAAAAATATAATGGTAAAGATAGTAATAAAATCATACATTAAAAAGTACAAAAAAAAAACATTTATCAATAATTACAGTTACAGTTGAAATACTTGAGACAAATAATGTTAATAAATCATTAACTATAAAAAATCTTGTTTACAGGATGTGCCTTCCCATCCCGATGGCATGGGCGTTGGTTCCAGTCGGGAGTGATCCAGCCTATCCTTATAGAGGGTGACAGACTCTCCAATAAAGGGAGGTGCCTGTCTTCAGAAGGGGACAAGTTCCTAATAGTCGATGAGTAAGTATAAATCCATACAACACCTAAACACACATACACACAGACATACACAGACATCGTATTATTGAATCTATAGAACTGTGTTTAATATAATCAGTATAAGTTAAAATGTTAATCGTCCTTGCTATTTTATCACATTATCAACAACCTTTGATAGTCCACTGCTGGACTTCTCTTCAGAAAGGAGGTTTTGGCCTACTATACCACGATGGCCAAACGAGTTCGTATAGGATTTGTTTCAAGTTTTCCTTATCTTTAAAGTGTTTATGTCCTGAATAGTTTGCACTCTTAGTCGGCTCTTGCCACACCAGCTCACCACACGTCTCAGTTATTTGAAAAAACAGAAAAATCAACAGTAATCCTAAATTGACAAACAAAATTATAACAACATTGGTAGTTAAAAACCCCTACGCATCTCTATATGTATACAATATACTGCAAAGTTCTACAATTCACAAAAAAAAAACAAAACAAATCAACATCTTGTTTCCCAACACAATACACATATAACAAAACTTTAACGCGTTTATTATCGTACAGGAATCTTGCTCATTCCTCTTCCTCCTATCTTCTTGTTTCCGTTCCGTTTCTTCCACCATCCATTTAATCTCTCCATCTGCTCGTCGTATCGACAAAGCTTAACGCGAGGTTCTTGATAAGGACGGATGTTCCACACATACCTATAATGATACACCTACAATCAAATTGTGTATGTAAAAGAAAATTCGTTTTTATAAAGATTTTAAGACATTTTTTGTTTTAAAATTAGACTGTACTGCGATAACCAGACTGCTCATAAAAAATTATTAATAAATAATAATAATAACGACCTGCGGATCCCAAACTAGGTAGAGCCTGTACCTGGTAACCAGACTACTGATAAACATACTTATATATTACTCAAAACATACATAACTTAGATAAATTACACCTAAACCCCGAACAAACGATCGTTCTCATCCCACAACTATTTGTCCTGACTGAGAACCGAACCCACGACTTATAGCTAAGCAGCCTAGCCACCAGACCAACAGGCTTGTTAAAGTTTAATTAGTTAAAAATCATTATTATCATCAGTAGCCTTATATAGTCCACTGCTGGACATAGGCCTCTAATTAAAAATGAGGTTTTGGCCAACAATACCACTCTGACCAGACGGGCTGGTATAGGGTTTGTTTTCTTTCTCTTTTGCTGTGCTGTAGTCCTGCGTAGTTTACTCCCTTAGTCGACTCTTACGACACCCACGGGATGAATAGGGGTGGCACCCTCCGTATTCTTAATCCAATAGAATATGTCGAGTCCTGCTCACATAGTTATTTTCATTTTAGATTGCGGCCATAATGATTGACTATTTAAGCAGTAGTACTAGTATGGTCTAGATAGAAGCTGTTATCATTAGCCTCATGCTACCGATAGGAGTACGATATGCGGTCATGCTAATCTGAGTTTACACACATATCTGACAGGTTTCTATCATAATGTTCTAAAAAGGGGGGGGGGGCTTTTTTTCTGTCGAAGGAGTGGAAAATCCCCTCGGATCTATAGGAACCAGGAGAATGTGGTGTTGCCACTAAAAACCACTCCGACGGCCAGCCTTAGACGCCCTGCTCTGGGGAGAACCCGGGCCAGGGAGTAGGGGCCTAAGGTTTAATTATTATTATATAAAAAATAAATGACCACCGCTGACATTAAAAATAATTCACATGTTCAGTGTATAATACGTATGTTTTACGATTTAAACTAAAAATCAGTCCATCCGTTTATGAGTTATGATGTCACAGACTGACATATAGATCTAGAGACACTGATACACACATAACATTTAAAACAATTCATATTAACATGTGATAGACGCTACCGAAACCCACGTTTAAAAGTTGCGTTGAAAGTTACAATCTAAATTAAAAGACTATTTAAGAAGTTCTGTGTACAACGATAGGGTTTCGCCACCAAACGGAAGGATGCTGATTTCGGTCATATTTACAGGGCAATCTAATTACACTGCAGCTTTTCGATGGACCATATGCTTATTAATTCTTTAGTTGCATAAAAAAGTCTTGATTCTTCACGATCCTAACACCGCTTTCCTTGATTTCCGATTCCTCAGTAGACATAACTTGGGATCTTTTATCCTAGGACCGGATGGCGTAGTGGCGCTCAAGTCAAACATTTATTATTGTATTTATGTATTTACAAAAAAAAAGTGTATAATATATGTATTTATATCTAGTACCCATAGTACAAGCTCTGCTTAGTTTGGTACTAGATGGCGTTGTGTGAACTTTTAGCCCGATGTATGTTATTTCCAATGGCACCACTACTTTTGATTCTTTTGTTGTCAAGCATACATAATAACAGTCAATAATAATAAACCGCGGGAGAGCCGTGCTGTGGCACAAATGGGTCGGCTTGACCGGATTGGATACCACTGGCTCACAGAAAACCCATGTAACATTTGTGACTCCTGTGTTTCATGTGTCCAAGGGCGGTGGTAGACACTTACCATCAGTTGACTTGCCTATAATGCCACAAAAAACCTAATAAATATACATTGAAGTAATGGTTGCTACTCGTAAATATATATGTATATACACACTAACGCATGCGAGCGCATATACACACACACAAACACACACATTTAAAATATAAATAATTTTGTATTTAAAACAATGTATTCTAATACTTATGGTGTTAAAAATCACGCAATGTAAAATATGGAGGAGGCAGGCATTATTTCCTTAAAAGAAGATTCTGAACACTTTCTGTAAACTAATTATTTGACACAATAAAATTTATTTAATTTTTTATTTTAAAATGGTGGGTGATATTTACAAAGCATCTTGTCGGACGGGAAGCTATTGAATTGTACAGCACACAAGACACTCTGAAATTGGCTGACAATATCGGAATGTATTCCCTTTTGTTCTGCACTGGTTGGCTCGAGACGGTGGCAATATGTTCCACTACACAATGTCTCCGGACACAAGAACTCTGTTTACTACGACATTTTTTTTTTTTAAATAAAATAAAATGTCAGAATTTGATTGCCTTGGTGGTGAAGTGGTAGCGTATGCGACTGCTGCTCTGAGGTCTCGGGTTCGATTATTAATTTAAAAAAACGATACCAAATAGAGTTTTTTAATGTGTGATGTGTGATCAACAGCCACAGCCACAGATCACAGCAGGGATATTAGAAAAACTACTAGATAGAGTTTAATGCTGAGCCCGAGAAGTGTCATTTCTACAGTTATGCTTCAGCAATAATGGGGCGGCTTAAGAATACGGAATATCACTACCCCAATTCATCCCGTGGGTGTCATAAGAGGCGACTAATGCCCGGTTTCTGAGGAACTTTTAACGGCAGTTTATCTATTCATTAGCGCTATTGGTTCGATAACCTAAGAAAGTGCGTTTCTGAACATCGCAATGTAAGATAAACTCCGTTTAAACTTAGGTTAACTTAACTGACCAATGTGTGCCGTTTATCGATTTCATAACTTTATTTGACGTTTTGCTTCAAGCAAATTACATAAACTTTTAGGTTATAACTGTTATTATCAAATTGTCAGTGAAAACTTAATATTAAAATTAACGTAATGAATACGAGCAGCTCATCAGAGTCTGATTTGGAAGTATTGGAGTTTATTTCTAATATTTCAGTACCTAGAAACTTAAGACGTAGGAGAAATCCTTTCGAAATGTTTACGGATGAAGAATTTAAATTATGGAATTTAAATTTTAATTATTATTATCATATAAGGCATGCAACTGCTTTTCAGTCCTAACGCCAGTTGTCAGCGCCATCCAAGCTTGTTTCTTTGCCTCCACAGAAGTTCCATCCGTTTTTTTATTGTCGATTATAGACACAAATTCTTTGGCTACTTCAATAAGAAGCATCTTCTCTCTCTCAGTAAAATTTTTACTACGTTTTCCAGATTCCATTATAGTTATTTTTTATAAGAAAAGATGAAGCACAAACGATAGCAAAGACCACGGTAAAAGCAAAGAAAAATAATACCACGATGAAACTCGACGAAACTTTTTTTGGCATCAATGAGTTTGACGTTTATTTTAAAAAAAAAATTGACTACGATGTCGTTCATTCATCCGCTGATAAATAGCGAATTTTAATAATTTATAACTAAAACAATGCTTGTTTACTTATTTACCCTTGAATAAAATATTCTCGTAAATAAAGCTAGTAATAATCTTGAATTAAAATAATAAAACCAATTTTAAACTTGATCTCTTAAACAGACCCATCTAACGGCAGATTATGGAACTGCTTATCTGTTTGATAGTTATTGAACGGTTCATTGCGTGTTCAGAAACGCAGTGACAGTTAACCGACGTTTATCCTATACATAACTTTATTGTACCAATAGCTAATGAGAGTATAACTGGGAACTTCAGAAACCGGGCATAAGGGAGCTAAAGTAGGACAACCAGCACTGCAAATAGAAGGAAAACTTGACACAAGCCCTATACCAACCCGTCTGGCCAGCGTGGTATAGTAGGCCAAAACCTCCTTTCTAAGTAGAGGCCTATGTCCAGCAGTGGACTATTAAAGGCTGTTGATGATGATGATGATGATGACTTCGGGCTTCATTTAAATAATTTAACGTGGTCAAAGGTTTAAATTAAGAAATAATCTCATACCTCAAGATTAGACGGGCCCTAAAATATTTATATAGCATATGAAATGCAATCATTCTTTACATCTCCATATTTTATGCATACAAACTTGTATGATAACGACTAATACCTGTCTCATAGAATATTCTCTCATAGGCAAAATTCTTTATTTTTTGTCAAGTGTCGTCACCACTTTTTTTCCCATAACTAGATAAATCCAAAGACATTAGAGTTGAACAGGAACAAGGCCAAGTTACGAGTACCTATACAATCTACCGATATTTGATGACAATAATATTAAATTTTGTTTTTCTCTTTCAGAAAAGGCTGTTATCGTTGTGTGGTTATGCACGAGAAACACAAAAACGTACTACAATATAAAGAAAGTAAGTACTTTTACATGTTCATATATATATATAGTATTAAAAGTCGTTCATTTTTGAATTTCGAATGAATGATTTTTCAAAACTACAAGAAATTTTGATCACACGTTGTTATATTAAGATTTTTTTAATTTGGCACACTGAGGGCATTCGGAGGTTCATAATCTCAGACATGATACCATGGCATTTGTGTCTACATGTGTTAAATTAAAATTTTATTTCTTTACATACATTAATAACTAATAGATATTTTGGCAATAATCATAAATGTACGTACATTGCAACTAAATCTTTAAAGGTTATGTTTAAATACCTAAATTCAAATTTTTACAACTACATTTATTGGATCTCGATGACAGAAACGAGAGATAGATTTATAGTCCAAAATGGTACATTTGTCCAAAGTATTTAGAAACAGCATCTAAAAATGCTTATAAGCATATTTGAATTATGAGCACAAGGCTTTTTCTAGTACTTAGGAAAGTTAGTAGTTGAAAACATAAGAAGACACATAAATGTTTTTAGTGAAGGACTGTAGTACTAAAACTCTAAATATTATTCACTGTGTATATAATAATCTACAGAAATAATTAAAATTGGAGTGTTGTAATGTCAAAATAATAGATTTTTTCATTCTTACACGGTTATTTGCACGCTGCCTATGCCTAAAAACCAGTCTAAATATTTTTTGTCAGACAGAGTCAAATAGACAGACAGACTGTCTTTCTGTTTGTCTATTTGTGCCGGGTAATCTTTAAAACGGCTGGACCAATTTGGATAATATTTAACTACTATATCAGGAGTAACTTAGGCTATTTATTCTCTCAGAAAAACTCTATGAAATTTTGCCTGGTCCGGAAATCGAACTCACTAAGACTGCGATTTTCAAATTCCACTCAAACGAAGTCGCGGGCACCAGCTAGTCATGCATAAATAAATAAATCGCAGTTAGGTTTTTTCGTATTACAGAACTCATAGAGTCCTACAATATCAGATTCTATACCAGTTATGTTTAGTTTCAGTCTAGACGACATTGCGTAATATATCTGAAAGTAGTGTTACTATTATTGTGATGCAGGCCGGATACGACAGAAGCTAAACCAGACTCAAGTCCAAGAAAATCTTAAATAAATAAGTATACAATCAAGATCCGAGAGCTGCCTTCACTTTCCGCCTCTCTTCCATATGCATATCTAGAATATAAAGTAGACTATAGGTCCCTAATAAATTACACGACCATTCCTTTCGGCTGACTTACAAATTGAGATTTATTTGTATACGGGTATTGGTGAGGAAGACATAGGTTAAAGGTCGTATTTAAGTAAACCTACTTCCGCCTAAAACATTCTTCAAGGTGTCATAGTTCGTAAAAAACTCTAGAACTTTCTTTTTTATTGCAAAAACATGGTCTTTTAAGTTAAAAAGGATGGATTAGCTCAAATACGGATTTCATAACTAAAAACTCTTTATAATTCTAGAAGTCTTTTGTAATCACATTAGTATTTAATACTGAACACAATGTGAAAATTCAAAGACAAAAAAAAAAAAAAAAATAGTATATACCACCTAACCACAGTAAACCTTTTTTAACCACAGCTATTTTTTTTTCAGCATTCTGCCACAGAAGAGACGCTCTACCCCACCTGTGTTCACTGATCACCGGTGACGCTTTATTGTACTCCATGTTCAGGGAAAACGCTGATCCTGTCGACTGCCCGCTCAAAGGACCTTTCTCTTTTACATATAACAGGTAAGTGGTTTGTATTTCACACTAAATTTGTTCATCCTGTCTTATTAGCTTGAAAATGATCACTGCATCTGAAAAGTATAATTAAATATCGTGGTGATGTTGTAAGCTTAGTTCTGAAGGGCCTAACGATTAGACCTACTAAATTATAAAGACAAATGTAAAAAACTAGAAAATTCCAAATTTAAACATTACATTAGATTACATTATATTAGAACTCCTCACTTATAAACCGTTTGAAAAATATGATGTTAAGGATATCACATTTGGTCACATTCAAATTTGAAGATAAAATACCACCCTTAATAGCTGAAACAATAAGGAAAAAAGAAAACAGTATATTACAATTCGCTATAATGAAGTCGCATTGAACTAATATGACTGACTGACTGCACAGATAACGTAGTGGTTTAAGTGGTCGCCATGCCGCTTACTACTACGCTGAGTGTTGTGGGTCCCACATGGGACGACACTTTATGTGATGCACAAATTGTTGTTCTGAGTCTGAGTGTTCTTTGTGTCCGTTTCATGTATGTTTGTAAAGTCCCCTGCGACACAGGATTTATTCCTAGAGCGGGAGTTGTCTTTAAAAAAAATACAAGTAAATAATTAACTTTTTATTAACCGACTTTTAAACATTGTCGGTGGTATATAGTATATCAACCAGTTTACTGTAAAACATAATATGGCAACCCACATGATATATGACACAAACGTCTTATCATTAACCGCGTTATCCTACAGACAACCTTTAGATAAACAGAACCAAGTTTATTACAAATAAACTCGAGGTGCACGATTTTATTTTTCTTGTAATTCTAGTAATCACTTCTTCAGACAATAAATGTGTATTTTACTGAACTAAAATAACCAGTACAGTGGTAATTTATAGGTATATTATTATGTTAGAATGCTATATTCGTTATGTGTTTACGTTTGTTCGTGGACTGTCTTATTTCTTTTATCACGTCAGAATGACTGTACAGAATTAGATTAAATTTGGAGCAGAAATAGATTATGTTTTGGAATAGCACATAGGCTACTTTATTTTCCGGCAAATTTGGTTAACGATTTCGATATAGGTCAAGCAGAGCTACGGGCAGAATACTGTGCCTGTCTGTATAGTTTTCACATGTTTTTAGTGGTCTAAACTTCTTATTGAATTTTAGTATAGAAGAAGAAATTGGAGAAGAATATAAGCTTCTTTTGTCGCGAAGGTAACGTTTAAAGGAATTGAAATACGGGAAGGAAGACAGTTAGAGACAAGCGCGGATCCACTGTTGTGGGTACGATGGGCATGCTCAATGACAACCCTTGTGACGTCACAAGTCCGTTATCTTGTGACGTCACAGTATCTTATGACGTCTCATCTCATTGAAGCATGCGACCTTTTCATTAAAAAAAACGACGGGTTGCACTCCGGGAGTGCCGGCAGAAATGAAAACTTGAATATTAACGTTGTGCATTTTTGATATTTTGGAATGATTAGGGAATAATTTTGCACGAATTGCTTTAATTATCAGTATAAAAGTACTATAATTTATGTGGTAGAATACAATATTTATTTATTGCGCTATCGTACACAAACATGACAATTTATCGAGACGCTGTCACCATCCATGGATGCGCGTGGCACGCTATAACATAAACACACACGAACATTCGCGCAAGCGCCCTGCACCGCCTAAACGAAATAGCAGGCGCAGGCATACTTCGTCTCCTACTCTCCATCCGTCTTACGAATTTTCGATCAGGTCACGTGTCCTGACGCGAGTTTAACATTTTTTACTTACTTCAAAAATTCTTACAAATATCGTCACTATAGAAGTTTTGAGCTACTCGAAATTTGAAAGCGGAACGCATCTGTGTCATATATAATTTAAGGGCAAATTTATTTGAAAATCGAACACAAAAGTTCATTTACAGCAATAAAAAATAAATAAAAGTATTATACTGTCATCATTTGCCGCTGTTTCGTCTGCTACAAATGAACTTAAACGCGAACATTTGGGTACTATGATATATTACGACTTTAAATCTGGTTTATCTAAAGGTATAAGCTTGATCATCTCAGCCGTGAGACGTCCACTGCTGGACATAGGCCTCCTCCAAGGCTCTCCACAACAATCGGTCCTGTGCTGCCCACATCCATCGGCTTCCCGCGACCTTAACCAGGTCGTCGGAACACCTTGTAAGGGGCATGTCCATGCTCCGTCTTCCAGGAGCAGCAGGGCCGCCGGGGACTAGGGCCAGTCTTTTAGTTGTGCTCCATCTTTTGGGAGGTTTTACCATAATCGCCACGCTTGGCATGCGGGTTGGCGATCGCAGTGAGTTGATATTGTGCTCAATAAGATGCTGCTGCCCATTCTCTGGTACACCATACCTTAGATGACTTTTACAACTCCCACGGACAGAGATAGAGTGGAGCTATTCTTAGCCCCCACTACACGGCACGGAAGGTTTAAGCTTAGAACGTTTAAAATCAGCTTTTGGTGAACCTACTCCTTCTTGGGAAACCATTTTGAGATGGTTTAACGAATTAAAAAGGGGGAAAACTAGCCTTCAAGATGATGACAGCTGAAAATGTGTGGACTACTAAATTGCTTGTGCGAGATGACCCACGAATTACACACAGGGACAAATCTCAAGCATCAGTTCGGTTAGTATTCACACCATATACCATGAACATCTTAGAATGCGGCCTAGGCGGTTTAGGCGGATTGATATAGTATAGATAGTTATGGAGAGAGTATAAAAAATATATATTAAAAATTGTAAGTGTATACTATTTACTTATTGCGTGCCTCAAAATTTATAAAGTGACCTACGAACTGGCAGCTCTCTTAGTCAGCAGCTACTGCAAAGAGATCGTTTTCTACTCTTCGCAGAGTAAAATTTTGGTTGCGTGTCTCAATAGCTCGGGAAAGATTATCCGGAATAGCTCTCCTAAATATACACCAGGATGGCAACCTGGATATTGATAAAATTATCAACGTTTTTGCGAAAAAGAAACGTAAGCTTGAATTTGTAATTTAAGTAAGCATTAAAATAAATTATTTAATGTAAAATGTATCATCAACATCAATGGCTGAACATTGGCCTCTCCTTAGAAAGGAGGTTTTGCCCTACTATACCACGCTCGCCAGACGGGTTGGTATAGGGTTTGTTTCAGGTCTTCCTTCTCTCTGTAGTGCTGTTTTCGTGCGTAGTTTGCTCCATGAGTTTGTTGAAAAGGGAGGAAAAGGGGCGGTGACACTATATTCTTAATCCGTCACCACACGGACAGTAAAATGTATAGTAGCGTTTAATTTACTTTGATATCCTTTGAAGTTGTAAAAAAATCATCAAAATCGGTTCAGTAGTTTATAGTTTAAATGTGACATTGTGATGTGTAAACAAACACACATTTACTTCTGTAATTTTCGTGAGCAAACATACTGACATTTTACAGGTTAATTAATTTACCTACTACTGTTTGCCCACGGCTTTGCGGACGTGGAACTATATACTGTACAAAATCTTGGTCAGGGCGTCATATTTTGTAAACATCTCCTTTAATTAGGAATGCACTATACTGATTATGAGCGAGTTCATAATCCGGCTCGCACTTGGCCCATTTTCGGGTGTCTGTGACCAGAACGTTTTTTGAGGACTGGATCCGCTCCTGGTTAGAGAGAGATTTGGCGAAAACAACGTCGGAACAAAAGCTACTACAATATAATAAAGGAGGAGGAGGGTCAAATGATATTATGATTAAAGCTATAAGTCTAACTATTTTTAATGTGATAACACCTAAACAGCATCTCAATTAAGAAAAAAGGCTAAAGGTATACGTGACTCTACATTGCTCGCCTCGCCTCTGCCCATTTTACTATACAGTATAAAAGACGACTCCTGCATTAGGAATATATCCTGCGTCGCGGGGGACTTTACAAACATACAAGAAACGGAGACAAAGAACACGCAGACTCAGAACAACAATTTGTGGTGGTGGGGTTTATGTCACCCAAAGTGTCGTCCCATGTGGGGATCGGACCCACAACACAGCGTACTAGTGAGCGGCGTAGCGACCGCCTAAACCACTTCGCCATCCGTGCAGTCGAAGTACTAGTAGTAGAAGTGTAATTAACAATAAATTGTCCTTAAGACAATATAACTATTCGATATATAATACTGACTAAATATATAATGATTGATCAGCAGTTTTAATTACGCGTCATTGCGAATGTGACCTGTCAGACACCCGCCCTTCATACATCTTAATTACCCGTCAGCACATCTGTCGGGTGTCGTGTCATGTGAAAGATAAGTGCTTTGGAGGAAATCCTGTTTTATTTACAACAAGCATCTCCTGATGATGATGATAATATTGCATGATGTAGGTAATCGTAATTTTATAATACAGTAGTCGAAATATAACATGTTCCGACTACTGTACATAAATATGTGATGTAGTGATGTGCTTGGTCGTTAGAAATACGTATCCGAAACGGATACGATTAGGAATACTTAGTGCTTAGATCCGCGACTACGCATATGGACCTCAAGTTTATCCCATGGCAATACGCATATGGACCTCAAGTTTATCCACTGGCAATACGCATATGGACCTCAAGTTTATCCCATGGCAATACGCATATGGACCTCTAGTTTATCCCATGGCAATACGCATATGGACCTCAAGTTTATCCACTGGCAATACGCATATGGACCTCAAGTTTATCCCATGGCGATACGCCTATAGACCTCTAGTTTATCACATGGCAATACGCAAATGGACCCCAAGTTTATCCCATGGCGATACGCCTATCGACCTCAATTTTATGCCATGGCGATACGCCTATTGACCTCTAGTTTATCCCATGGCAATACGCATATGGACCTCAAGTTTATCGCCTGGCAATACGCATATGGACCTCAAGTTTATAACATGGCAATACGCAGATGGACTTCAAGTTTATTCCATGGCGATACGCCTATGGACGTCAAGTTTATCCCATGGCAATACGCATATGGACCTCTAGTTTATCCCATGGCAATACGCATATGGACCTCAAGTTTATCCACTGGCAATACGCATATGGACCTCAAGTTTATCCCATGGCGATACGCCTATGGACCTCTAGTTTATCACATGGCAATACGCAAATGGACCCCAAGTTTATCCCATGGCGATACACCTATCGACCTCAATTTTATGTCATGGCGATACGCCTATTGACTTCTAGTTTATCCCATGGCAATACGCATATGGACCTCAAGTTTATCCCCTGGCAATACGCATATGGACCTCAAGTTTATCCCATGGCGATAGGAGGCAGGGGTAAATAACACGACATGTTTTAACTTGTCACACATATCAGAAATATAGAACTTTTGACATTGTTAGAAACAGTGAAATAAGTACCTTAACTGTCAATAATATTACTTACTCACTACAGTAGATATTTAAACAATTTTATGTTTAGCGGCATAAATTTACAGTCAAATCGAATTTATATTGTGTTACTGTATACTGGTATGTAATATTCGGTGCACAGATTGCAGGTGTGTATGTGTAAATCACAGTTTCCTTAGGGAAAATTGCCCTTTAATGAATTAAAAAAGGGACACAGCCTTAAAGACGTTTAAAAAGTTTAATACACTAATTACTCCCGGTGCTTCCACAACGGCCCTTTTCCTTTTCCATCGCCTGTTTCAAGCTTCGTGTCTTAATGTAATATAATGGTGTTATAAAATTAATTCATTTCCTTCCAATATTAAGGAGAAAGGAGGACCTTCTCAATTCAGTTGTAGGTTTTATGTTTCTTACCTCAGTCATTCATGAATCGATTTAAAGAATTATTTTTTTGTTTAGCACTTACATACTTTCAGTTTCATCAACAGTCTTTAATAGTCTGCTGCTAGACAGGAATCGCCTTAGAAGGGAGGTTTTGGCCTACTATACCACGCTGACAAGACGGGTTGCTATAGGGTTTGTTTCAAGTTTTCCTTCTCTTTACAGTGCTGTTGTCCTGCACAGTTTGCTTGTTTAGTCAGCTCTTAACACTTACACCCACGGGATAAATAGGCGGATGTTACTCCGTATTCTTAATCTAATAATTACCACACGGGCACTTATTTATATGGCATTATTATTTGAAATAACTATAATCTACTTCGCTTTCAGGGGTCATGGGGACTGCAAGAGTCCTGTGTCATCTATAGAGAGTTGTACAGAAGACTCGCGGCTGCTCCTCAACTACCAAGCGTGTCCTGATGTCTACGGATCAGAAAGTACTGGTAAGTGAAGGACAGATATATTATTTTATATTATTAAGTAATGGGAAATGGTTATTTTTTCTGTTTATTGTTCAACTGATTGAACATAAATACGTACCTTTTAATTGGGATCATCCTCATTGGTGTCAGAAATGACAGTTTTTTTTTCATATAACAGTCTAAAATAATACCACAGGTTTAGTTAAAATTCCTAAAGGTAAAATTTGTTTTGAGCATGCGTCACATATCTAAAGACGCGGCAGCATGTCAAGCCAAGTTTAGAAAAATATGAATTGGTGACGCAGCAATCGTAACTTATATATTACAAGAATCATAAATAACCTTTTTGACTTTAGAATAACTCAAAATCTATTTATCTAGACTTACACGATTATTTAAAAAAAAAAAACATAAAAAATTAAACAATCGAATACTCTTTATTTAGACCGGATGGAAGTCACATTCCTGTAATTATTTCATCATCGCGTTTACACTTACAATGACTACTACAGTTTTATTTTATTTTACAGTTTCTTCTCTTAACATTCAAAATCAGAATCATAGTTATTTGCAAAAATACTGCGACAAATGGTGTTTGGATGAATATTTAAAATGCAATTATATTGACGGGCATAGTAGCAGGGATAAAGCATTAAATAAAAACCAAATAATTATGTCAGAGTATAAATTCATTGTGAGTAGATACAGATAATTAAATAAGATGTCATACAGGAGAAAAACATACAAATTGTTACAAGCATAGTCAATAATAGCATAATAATAGTAATTCAATTGTCACAACCATGAATATTAATGGTTGTTATGTCATTATAAGGGCCTAATGTAATCATTAGGGCCAAATGATTACAGGGATAATTATTGTTCGCAAAGAGACTTTTTTATTACCAACCCGCCTGGCCAGCGTGGTAAAGTAGGCCAAAACCTCCTTTCTAAGGAGAGGCCTATGTCCAGCAGTGAACTATTAAAGGCTGTTGATGTGATGTGATATTTAATTGACTCCTGCTCTGTGATCTTGCCTGCTGTTAATTGTGGTGGGTTGGATTCTCACCCAGGACAAATAATTGTGTGACGTGCAACTATCATTTGTTGTACCATGTCTAAATAAAGAGAATGTATAAAGATATGTGTAAGTATATTTATCATCAGTCTGGTCATCATATCAGATTAGGAAATGGAAAATTCGGAGAGAAATTTCGTCAACATAATGCAGAAAAATCTTACATGGATATGTAATTTGATTTAATAATAATATTTTTTATTTATTTATTTAAAAACAAATTGTAATATATGCTTCAATATTTTTATTTAATAAAAGAAAATAAATTGTTTTCTTATCGGTCACCACGCTCAAAAAGTGTAACTTGAATTAATATCAAAGAAAAAGAAATACTGCATAAATAAAATAAATAAATAATTATAATTGCATAAGTTGATACAAAATGCTATGCAATAGCTTTACCGCGGCAGTCCCCGAGTGCCACACGTCTCTTTTTTTTTTTCCTTATCGATTCGAACTCTCAGTGTAATTACTACGATGTCTGATGTAGATCAACAGCTAATAAATTATATTACTGTTTTTAATACTGGACACTGCTATGGAGAATTGAAATAAAATAAAGTAAACGTTAGCAAAGCTGAAATAATATATATATTTTGAACGTCTCTCGTTAGACACCAGCTACAAATGGATCGGGCAGACTTCCAGCGCTGGTGTCACCATTGTTTCGATTTAGCGCTGCTTAGAAATATACTAAATGTTAAGGAGTATCGAAATCGGTAATGGAAATCATTTATATACATATTAAAGTTTTTGAATGTTAAAAGTATTTATTTCAAAACTTGTCGATCGCATACTAAGCAAAAAAACTCAAACAGTTTCAAAACCTTAGATTGTTTCAATTGCAATAAGGTTACATTTATACGAGTACTAGCCGGCAAACGTTGTTTGCCATATACATTATTTAAAAAAAAACTGTCAAAAGAAATTTAAAAAATTAGGGGTATGATAAACCCTTTTAAAAAAAAAAGTTGAACCGACTTCAAAAAACACCGACAAAGAGCACTAAAAATTAAAAAATAATTACAAATCTAAGTAAAAAACTATAATAAGTACCCTCAATGTAACAGGTAACATTATAATACCAATAGTCCCTTCTAGTCTGTTTGAAGTCGGTGCCAAGCCAAATAGGTGCTTGATAGGCATGATAGAATGTAGCGCGGCAGCTGCAACAGTCTTCATGCTGCGCAAAACATGATGAACGAGCTAAAGTGGACGCACATCTCCAATTATATTATTATTTTGAATTCTTTAATAAGTAGTTGATAAGTTTGCGCACGTAACTGATCTGGTTGGTCTTTATTAATTAACAAAATCTTCGATGTTTCATTAGAATTATTTTGAATTCTTAATTTTTCATTGTGCTAATATAAAGCTGACATAGACCAGTATTACTTATTGTACATCGAGCTTGGCACCGACTTCAAACAGACTAGAAGGGACTATTGGTATTATAATGTTACCTGTTACATTGAGGGTACTTATTATAGTTTTTTACTTAGATTTGTAATTATTTTTTAATTTTTAGTGCTCTTTGTCGGTGTTTTTTGAAGTCGGTTCAACTTTTTTTTTAAAAAGGGTTTATTTTACCATTTTTAGTGTAGGATATGAAAATGACATTGGCGTCCAAACTGATCAAGATCAGCTTAAATTCTTTTCTAAGAAACAGTCAAATTCTTGTGAGTTGCAACCGAACAAAATAACTTCCGATTCAATTGACACTGATCTCGAAGGTGAAGATAGGGAAGCTTTAGTGAGACTACTCAACAAATATGCTCAATATTTTATAGAAGGAGTTCCAACTAGAAGGGTTAATATCAGTATGTTAGAAATTAACCTAGTTGACCCACCCAAAATTTAAGAGTTTTTTCCAGAACTATTTTAATAAATTAAGAATAAAATTACTTACAAACGAAATGCGATGCCATCCATAGCAACAAAACGTCTATCCGAATTATTTTAACAAGATAGAATACAAAATTTCAACCTTTTCTTCTTAATACAACGAAAATTACTGTGGTGACATAAATACTGCAAGTTCTCTGCGCATCACATCGCGAAGTCTCTGACAGTTGCCATGGTTTGTTTGGCTAAAGAAATACACGTTGTCGGGGCTGTCAAATTCCCAATAATTGTGAGGGTTTCACTCGATTTCTCTAGGATCCCATTATCAGATCCTGAATTGGTGGTAATGGGACCAATTCGGGAGCATACCCTTTCGATTACAAAAAGAATTTTGAAAATCGGTCCACAATTGACGAAGAAATCGCGTAACAAACATACATAAAAAAAAAATACAGATGAATTGAGAACCTCCTCTTTTGTGTTTTGGAAGTCGGTTAAAAAGAAAACATACTGTCGAACCCTCCTTTTTTGATGTTGGTTAAAAATCGTCTAGCATGAAGCTCCTAGTCGAGACGAATCAAATGAGCACAAACACGGCGGAATTGCTTTATTTTATTACAGAGTTCCCATGGCTATTTACCGTCTCCATCATCAGACCCTGAATATCACATAGGATCGGAGTCCTTATTAATTAGACTCAAACACATTCAAATTCGATGGTATTACATAATTTTGTTACAGAGATCCCATACTCCTAAACCATTCATCATCAGCTCAGCAACATCAGATGGTGACCATTAGATGCAAAAATCTACATAGATTAAGATAATTTCTGAAAAACAGTGTATATGCCTACAAAATTTGAGGGTTTCCCTCGATTTCCCCAGGATCCCATCATCAGATCCTGACCTAGTGACAATGGGACCACCTCTGACGTATGACCTACCAAATAAAAAAAGAATTATTCAAATCGGTTTATAATTGCCGGAGTAATCGCGTAACAAATATACAAAAAAAAATACAGTCGAATTGAGAACCTCCTCCTTTTTTTGAAGTCGGTTAAAAAATAGATGTTGGCCGATTCTCAGACCTACCCGATATGCACACAAAATCTTCAGAGTTCAACCACGCACACCGTGACACCAGAATTTTATACATTAGATATATACTCGTATTTGTATGAAGTTTTACTTTCTGAGTATTTTATTATTTACTTTATAAATATCTTTCACGATTAACACGATTTAACACGGTATTCACTTTATATGCAAATACTGATTTCTGCTCCTCAGTTTCTATTAACTGTACTCGACAAGTTCAACCTTAGATTTTGACCATCTAGCATCATACGATTTACTGAGGTTGAAAGCCTGTATGACCTAAGAGGCAACGCCTAGACATATTCAAAAACAGATGAGATTTTCTGCAATTTTTTGCATTCATCCATCGCTGTTTCGATACAAAGTCAAAGTCGGTGGATATGCGAATGTAATATAGAAATACTAGGATACTCAAAATTATATGACAAAAATTATAAACACAAAACTTAGTCTGCTGTGTAGGCTGTTATTGTATTATGCCCCTTACAACGTGATCTTCAATTCTTACAGAAAATCAAAACCAAACTATACTGATGTAGATACTTCCAAAGCTTTCATAACAGAATTTAAACAGAACAAACTCGACTTTGTTCAAAATAAGCGAGAATGAAACAAAAAACAGTTCTGCTTAAAAATGAATATTTGAACATTTCCGAGTATTTCTCATAGTACTTCTCCTTTAGAGGGGCGCGGCATCTATTTAAACTTTATTTGTGTAGTCGTCTGTCACGATTGTCTCCGTCAACGAGGCAAGCTATTCTTGGAAGTACACCTCCAAGTTCAACTGTGGCTTCTAATGTTAATTTTCTGTTTGATTTTTAATTAAGGGTGTGCCTACACTATGCAACTCACTTGACCGAAGAGTACGTTAAATTTAATAATAACCACGGGGGTAACCTACCGTCTTCTCGTTCGGTAGCCACTTTTATACAAACGGTACAAGGTGGTTATTGCACTCAAAGAAAATTTAGGGGATATTCCACTTCTAATGGTGAAAAATTAACAGCTTCGAAAATAACGAATATAATTGCGCTATTAAGACCTATGTATTGGTTTTAATTTGTGTGTAATACCAAAAGTATAAAAACAAAATATCATTGAAAAACGTTGTTTCAAACTGTAAACTTAAAAAGTGAATTGTTTTACTGTTATTACTAATCTATATTTCAACAGACGTTTTTCTTCCAACTCACCTCAGGGAAAGTGACGATTACGAGAATCTATTCGCTTCACTCCTAAACGTCTGGAAAAATAGTCGAACTGCTTGCGTTCAATTTTCCATAAAATAAAAATTATTAAATAGTTACAGGTATTTAAAGCTTTAAAAGCTATGTAACGATAAAATCCAACATTAAGTTCTAAAAGGAAAAAGAGCATAAATAAAACGCCGTGTAAAGAACAGCCCAGTAAACAACATAGCCCCAAAACACTGTCTTGAGTCATACCAAAACACAATACATACAGATATATCATCATTTTATTTAAAACATAACTTTAAAGCAATCTAATGCGCTCCCTGACGAAATCAGGATGTCTACAAACCGTGCATTCAAAACAAACGTGAGTGAGTGAACTGGCAGAACAGTCACAACGATAGTACCCGACTGAGTATTTTTATATTATATTAAATTTATGTATGTGTGTTTAAATATTGTATACACAATATATAAACACACATACATACGTGTTATGTCTATACTTCTGGACTTCTACTATGTTTAATTTAATATTTTATTTTGCACCTACCGCATCATATTGTTGCGCTCTAGGATTAAATGGTTCGATTGTATGAAATGTGGAGGACAGCGCCATCTAGTATCGACTAAAGTACATCTAGTAAGATTGTGATTAATACGAGTAGTTCTGATCCTTACAGCGCTAGATGGCGCTGCAAGTCACGCGTGACTGATTCTGGAATAATCGTGTTTGTCTGGAACAGACTGCCGAATACTAGTAACTTTCTAGTAAAATTCAAAAGCGCTATAAATGTGGACATGTTGGCCGTTCTACACAGTATCGTTTTACGACTTAGCGAATTAACATCGGAGTGAATTTCTAGTGCGACTAACGAGATATATAACGATTTCTAGTTTATTATAGTGAGTGTTTGTAAATATAGCAATTTGCAATTTGCAATAAAGTAATTAACCGACTTTTATTTACTTTTATTTATTATATATGCTCGTAACAATATTTCTACATCACCTGAAGGTTGGCTAGGAGAGAATGCCCCAAGGCACTAACTCCACCTTTGTACAAAATGTGCGTTAAGTTTTAAATAAATAAATATTACCTGTCATTTTCAGTGGAAGAATTAGAGTGCCTAGCGACATGGAAAGAAGGCAGCCTTCGCTTTCTCGTAGGAAAACTACATCACAACCATGCGACGAGCAATGAAGATCGGTACAGATGTTTCGTCTACGAAAAGACAAACGGTAATATTTAGTTATGTGTCACTGTATTTATTTAGAATAATAAATAGGTCCATGTTTAATGTGTAGGCCACTTTATGACCGTGTAGTATCGCCTCCGATCACAGGCCAAAAATATGGGTACGCGACTGCATGTAAGGAATTTACACTTGCACGAACACAACGCGATTCAACACACATAGATTACAATAATATGGACACAGTGTAAACATAAATAAACACTTCATTTCGGTAAACGAGATATTCGTAATAAAAATACAAAAAACAAATTTATAATAAATTTATTAAAAAAATATAGTAATTACAAAATTTAGGATTTGCTGAAGAAAGGTAGTGTTTAAGGTTAAAAATGAAATTGCTAACATAAACATAATCTTCGTTTCAGCAACGGGCACTGTGAAGGAGGTCCCTGTTCCCGCTGGAGGCATAGAGTACAGAGTGGCGCAGTCTGGCGATGCCACTTGCAATGGACTGTTCAGTGCCACTGAGGGATCGAGAACTATGGCTTTGAAACGAGGTTAGTATAATTATACTGATCCATTTATTTCTAAATGTGTACTTTTTGGCAACATTTGAAGAAACATTTAAAATCATCGGACACAGGACTTTATTTGAATGGCCTTTTGAAGCAATTTTAATAAACTTTTGTAGTAGAAGTTCTAGTCGTGGATTTATCTTATGTGAAGTCAAATAATTGTGTGATGAGCTTATTATTTGTTTTGTGTTTGAGTGTAGTATGTATGTGTTTAATAATATATAAATTGCTGCCTAGATTGGGAACCGAAGTTATTATCATTTTAAATGTTTATTGTTCTCCATATATGTACACATAAGCCATTTGAGATCATTACAGAGAACACGGAAGTTTACGGTATCCAAGTTTGCTCACGGTATATTAATTGGTTTTTAAATTAAATAATGGTTAACTTTTATACTTAACTAGGAAATCACTGATAACCCATAGATAATCTTAGCCGAATCATCTAATCATTGGCTTCTCACGCCTGCACCATTATATTTATACTACAAGACACGTTTTATGATTCCAGTGTCAGTCCGCTTTAACTGTCAGTTCCCGTCATGGATGACATTTTCCCATACGTGGCACACGCTAGACTTCACAAGCAATTACACGTTCTACCAGCGCAACGCCACCTTAAGGATTACCAACCAAACTGGTGCAGATATCAAGGTGTACTGCGTCAATGTAAAGGCCAGCTCGCCAACTGGGAATTCTGTTGCGTTAGTTGCACATTGGCAACATCATTGGTGAGTACGAAAAAATAAAGCATATATTGTGAACCTTAATTTATTGAATACCGATGGCATTTTAATTGAATACTGATGTAAATGTAAATCTGGTATTCTGATATCTCTGTTGGCTCTGTTGCATAAGTTCGTAGTTATGTTTTAGTCAAATTGTTAAAAGGTGTTTGTTAAAAATTCTAGATAACAACTTAGAGGGTCCTCTTGATCAGAAATTTCGGCGGAATATCAGATTGGGTTAATACCAGTAACCTTATAAATTAAAATATTCATCACATCAACAGCTTTTAAGTCCACTGCTGGACATAAGCCTCTCCTTAGAAAGGAGGTTTTGGCCTACTATACCACGCTGGCCCGACGAGTTGGTATAGGGTTTATGTCGAGTTTTCCTTCTACCGCAGTGCTGTTGATCTGCGTAGTTTTCTCCTTTAGTCGGCTCTTACGACACCCACGGGATGAATAAAATATTCATCATGAATGTCAAATGAGTTGATATGTATCATGTATCAATCATACATAAAAAAGCTAATTGTGTCTAAGTTAATCTTTTTCAACTGCAACTTTACTTACATCTTTTTTTTCGTTCGAATATCCCCTCGGATACCCCATAGGACAATAGGACGGCTGGTGGGGTGGTTATATCGGACACGAACAGACTTACAGATGGCCCTCTCGTGTCCACGACCACGGTGTCCCCGTTCCTGTTCCTAAAAGGCGTGTGTGCTACTTACACCCGACTTAGAATCTGAAAATACGAAATCAGAAAATTAATTTTTAGACACAATTAGCTAAGCGATTTAAAGAGTATTCGAATTGATTGTCCAATGAAATTGTCTGTTGGCGTTGCAGCGTGTCCCGGTACGTGTGCGTGGTGCTGTACCGGCGCGACACGTCCATCGTGGAGCTGCAGCGCGGCGCGCCCACGGCCCGGGCCGACGACGCGTGCTCGCCGCACCACTTCAAGCCCATCAACGCGCCCTACGTCACACTAGTCGGTCAGTCTTGCCTATTGCAAATAAACTTAGAAGCACTTTCAGATAGGAAACTGGCAACAATGCCTATGGTATCAAATCCTGTCGGTGTAGAACGAACCGAATGGTTGCGATTTTAACAATCATTATTTCAATTCTCTTCAAAACTAAAATAAAAAGCCTTAGCCTTGCTTAATGTTTTTTGATGTTTTTAATTAAAAAGGATTTTTCTTAAAAGTTTTGTAAGGATAACCAATATGATTTATTAGTAGCAATAATTTCCAAGTCTATTAAGAAGTCTCAGTTACGTAGTTTCTTTGTTGTGAAAAAAAGCTTTTTAATCTTCTTAAAAAGATATATTGAGGCAGACTTTAAGAAGTTTATAAGTATTTAAGACTTCGTAGGCTTGTGGCGACTCCCACATTCAAAGAAACAGAAACATACTACAGCGCCATCTAACGATGACACACCGAACTACGGAGTAACTACTGATTATTTTTTTAAGACTTGAAGACAATTAGTGATGATCCAAAATATTTAAGGTTTCTAATTTGTATATTTCTTACTATTCCAGCTAGCAATCCTGAATCGAAAGAATGTCCATACTTCGGCAAATACGAAATTCAAAAACGACGGAAAAGAGAGACAAGTGATAACGTTAATAGGAGTAAGAGAGAGAAAACAATATCGGAACATAATCGTAGGGTTAACGGCAGTAGGTTGTTTAGTTTTAGCGTAGGCAACATGTCTAGTGCTCCAATGTTGAGGAGTAGAAGGGACGCGGAGCCCGGGGTCTCCTGCGTGGGGAACAGCTACAATAGATTAGAAGTTGGTTGTAATTCAGTGAAGAATATGGAGTTCTATTCCACGTGTCAGAATAAAGAAGTGATGACAGGTGAGTTGAATATTTAGCTCGTTATTTATTTTAAAATAATTAAAAAAAGTTGATGTCTCTGTGTACAGACCAAGTTTAATAAGTATGTATATAATAATACGACTGACCGACTGCACGGATAACGTGGTGGTTAAAGCGGTCGCCACGCCGCTTCCTACTACGCTGAGTGTTGTGGGTTCGATCCCCACATGGGACGACACTTTCTGTGATCCAAAAAATTGTTGTTCCCTTAGTCTGGATGTTCTTTGTGTCCGTTTCATGTATGTTCGTAAAGTCCCTCGCGACACAGGATAAATACCTAATGAGGGAATTGTCTTTTTTAAATAATAAAATACTTTGTGTACCTAGGGTTTCTTAGTTTTTAAAATATTTAACAATCAGGATTTTAGTAATGGTTTGGAAGAACACTATGTGATGTCATGTCAATGTACTTAAAAGCAATTGGAATAAGCCAGGTGATGGCGGATATTACTGTTGGTCTTGAGAAGTTGTAGGTATATACATACATCTAATCGGTATAAGAATTTGCATTGCATGAGACTACCATCTTTTTTTTTAATGCTTAACTTTTCTTCGTTAGATGAAGAGTTAAATGTGTCTTTAGTTGATGAAAGATAATGTTGTAAACCAAACACTGTTTTAAAAGATGTTTTAGCAGCGAACATAATCATAAAAAAACTGCTCTCGATAAAGACGGTATCACGACGACACCGTGACACGATACCTTTTTTTTTTTTTCTTTTTTTTTTCGTGCGGAAATCCCTTCGGATACCACCTATCATGTGTGTGGGTGGCATGTCGGACTCGAACCGACTAAAACCGCACTCCGTCTCGGGTACTAATAACCGGGGAACCAGGTATACCCTAGAAAGGAAGTCCCTGGTGTCCACGATACCTGTTACCCGTATGACGTACTTCGATAGTGGATATTGGACAATAAAGTTATCGGCAGCGTACACGTGCCACGGCGGGTGGTACGAGAACGGCACGTCGTTCGTGGTGACGACGCCGCTGACGCGCGACAGCACGGCGGCGCGGCGCTACTGCTTCGTGTCGCGCGGCGAGCGGCGCGGCGCGCTGGCGCTGGCGCGCTCCGCCGCCAACTGCGAGCGCGCCGACCTGCAGCCCGAGCTGCTGTTCCACGCCACCGCCACCGGTAACTACACCTTTGTCACCTACAACATCTTTTCTGCGATCTACGGGAGCGATTTAGTAGTAACGGGACGGATGTGTGTAACCTACCGAACCTAACCTGTGAGGTGTCGAATCTACCGATTTGAAATGGCGCCTGTCCTACCGAAATGCAACAATTTTCTACGATTTCTAAGAGTATTTTTTACCGAATTTCAAAAATTTCAAGTTGGGTCCCTATTTACGGTAAAAACCTCGTTTATATATGTTACTGAAAGAACGTTGATGTACAGGCAATGTTGTGATTTGGGGAATACCCTTGTCCTAACCAAACCTACAACTACGGTTTTAGGGATTTCCCCGCACAACTTTGGTTCCTTGTACTAACGAATGCTTAGCTATATGTATTACTTTCAATAATATTTTTAATTAAAAAAAAACTGATTTGTTGTTAATAAGTTTTAAGTTGTTCATCTCAATGATCATAATGACGAATACTTAGTGTGTTATAGAATATTATGTTATATTTAATTATGGTTTTTAATTCTTGAAATTTAAAGTAAAGATTTTTTTTATTTATTAATTCAATTTCCTTGTGATTAACTGATATAAATAGTTCACTTAATTTTTATTAACTGTTAACAGTATACAGACAACTGTGAAATAATAATCCCTAAAGTTTTAATCATTGTTTTTTTTTTCAATATACCATTTTATGATCTAAATATACCGAATTACTTAGCGAATCTACAGATTTCGCATTGTAGATTGGAGACCACTGATCTATTTTGATTGAGATCACACGCAGTGCTACAGTTGACTGCGCGGATGGTGTAGTGTAACGCGCGTTACGCTGAGTGTTGTGAGTCCGATCCCCACACGGGACGTCACTTTGTGTGTTTCATGTATGTTAGTAAAGTCCCTCGGCAACAGCTCGGCAAGCAACAAAGGATATATTAATAATGCGGGAGTTGTCTTTAAAAAAATAAAAAAAGAGTTGAATGTCATATGATAGTTGAGATCTTAGTTACTCGCTCGCTAGCTGTTTATTTATTATCTTATTTATTTCTACGTTTCTACATCCAGGAGAATGAATGAAGTTTCGATCACCCCATAAACAATATATATTTTAAAACAAATCGGAGACAAAGTGTCCAGTGCTTTGGTAGTGGAAAAAAATAACGAATTCTTTTTTTTACAGGCGAATGTCAAGATCAGACAAATTACCAACCGGTGCTGCGAATATCACTATACTTCGTATTATGTCTCCCCGTTTTACATTACATAATACCGAGATGATTCAAAATGCCCTATTAATAAGTCATTTCGGACCCCTCACCTTGTAATTATATCTGCGACAAATAGACAGACTTAGATATTATTTAGAAAACAAAATTTTAGTTTTTAAGGTACTTTAGCAAACTTATAATCTCGAGCTATGTTCTTACAAAGATAAAATCATTACAAATCGTAGATACTTTTATTATCTGTCACTTTGGGCCACTGGCCACACATTTTCTTGCCTGTTACAATCAATGGTAAACGATTGAGCCATTGAAATAAAAAGAGGTCGATTCAGTATGTACAGATGCATAGTCTGTGGTTCTAAGTTTTGCCGCCCTTCTAACTAAAATAACGTTGTTTGTTATTTGTAACTGTTATTTCCTTGTACAGTAAAATAATAAAAAAGGTTATTTTCACTGACCTCTATTTAAAACTTAAACTTTAAACTTTAATTTAAGTACTGATTAAGAAATGTATTGAAAATACATAATCAATGTCAAGCACAAAAATGCACTTAACAATTTAACACGTTTTTTTTCTTTGAACATTATCAACGCCTCCAAAAATTATATTTTAAAACATCATACCCGTAAGTGTAAAATATAATTTCTATCCTATTATTTGGCAGTGTAATGTAATATAAATCAATTTTGTACATCTGTTATACATATGTCCGATATCAATGATGTAAGAGTTTTGGATTGTATTCAAGTTAGGTACATTTGCCAGGATGTCAGCGACAGGATGCAAGTAAAAATTAAAACTGATTTACAACGTATGTTATTGTGTAAATTATATTTATATAAGATTTGCGTACTGTAATAGTTGACAAAAGGTTGGTAGTTTTGATGAGAATGGTTGTGAAATAATCTTGTTGCTATTTATGTCATGCAGTTTTCTTAGATCACGTGATTTAATTATCGATATAGACTGATAACGCAAAGATATTTTTTTCTGTGCGTTTTACTTCACATATTATAGCCCCCAATTGCGTAAAAGCACAGCAATGAAATATATATCAGGCGAAAATTTTCTGTATCATACGCAACATGATTTGGGAAATTTGGATGACTTAAATTAAACTGTTAAATAGAAAAGTTTTCGCTGTATATTTAGTAATAATATTAACAAACACATAAAGTCATTTTAATTTAAATTTTCTTTCAAAATATTTAATTGGTTTACGATATTAACACATATTTCGTAATTTTCTTTCTTAGATAAATAATTGATAAACAGCCTACTTTAGCCTCAAAAGTTAATGCAGTATCAATATAATCACAATCTAAACATAAAATTATATTCCATATGTTTAATTGCTTTTATGTAATAAAGAAAATAAAACATGAAGTCTTATTATGATAGTTTGTATTGCCTAAAATGTACTAGGTAGTATCTACATTAATATTTTATATAAAGGAATACAAATTAGCTCATTTACTACAAATATGAAGCTTCAAACCATGTACAAAATCATTGTAAAATGTTACTGAATAGCTAGAATAATTTTATAAATTAAAAATAAAATAATTAATTTTAATTAAGTGTTTCTTGATTTAAATTTTGTATATTTCGGTTTTATGTAAATTAGCCTATAAATAATTTTATTAAGTGTAAAATTAAAGTTCGCAGTGGCCCCATTTTGTTTCAAGTGATTTTAATTGTATCTTCATTTTAACGCTGTTTACGTTGAATCCAGTTAAATGTAATACGTTAATTTGAAATTGGAACTATAGCAGAAGTCTTAATATAATATTACAATTAATTACATAAAATTAAATAAACCTTTTCTAAATAAACGATGATTTAAAATTGACATTCATTGCTATTGTATCAACACTTCTGAAAATTTAACTTTTATAATTTTGTAAAATATTTTCTAAAGTAATTTACCATAAAGAATATTCGCAATTAGACTGCTCGCATAATCTAATCTTAAAATTAACGTGTCTTAATCTAACTTTCTACAAATATTATGTAAAGATACAACATTTTAATAACATTATTAATCAGAAGTGTTGTAATATCTTTTAAATATTAATGCTCAAACTTGTCTAGACTAGCAAATTATTTTTTAAATGGATGGGGTCTAAATGATTGTTACAATGCACCATATAATGGTTGCTTCACTATCTTCGTACTATTGTATTTGTTACAACATTTTTCACGAGAAAACAATGGTTTCTCAAAACAAGCAATACTACTATAGGTAAGATTAGATAAAACTAATTTAGATAAGAAACAAAACGAATACTCATTTTGAGATCAATGTAAAATTTAATTAAGTTTTAGATAATAAAATCGCAACAGCAATAATATATTTGTATTTATAGCTATTGAGCGTTGAATTTTTAATAGTTAGTAGACAGTTGTGAATAATGGAGCTAGCGTTGTTATTTTATAAAGTGACAGAATGATTATTTGTCTATAGGAAGCGGTCTCTGTAGGGAATCAATCTGAAACGGAATACGATGCATTTATAATTGATTTTCTAAGAGATGATCATCGTTACGTTTCCATTGTGTGATATAGGTACATTGAAATTAATTAAGTATATAGTCGTCAGCATGGATTAAAATAAACACCGAAATTAATTCTTAGTTGTTTTATTTCGAATTAAGTAAATACACCTGTTTACGTTATCACTGACTTAATTCCTTCATAAGTTTAAATGTGAAACAGGGCAAGGAAAGACTTAATGATTTTACTTTTATATGGGTATTGTATATATAACTAACTATCGAAATCTAATAGATAGAAAATGGTCGTGGAGACAACAGAATCTGTAGCCTTAGTGCCATAGAACTAAACAAACTCTACTCACAGCTACCACGTATCATCTATTACTAAGGCGTTAAACTCGCAATCTTACAATTTAATTGTGTCAGAATCCCTGTAGACCTTGTTGATTTAAAAGAGAGTTAACCCTCTCTTTTTTCTTGACAAGCACCAACAGGCAGCAAGGGACTTGCGCTAACTCTTCTTTTCAGCCTTTCTTTTCCCTCTCAAATATATTATTGTATGTCCCTTAATTTTCCACTCTCTGTAGTACTTTTTAAATTTGAATCGGACCAACCTTAGGTACGAACAATTTAATTAAAAAAAGAGTTAAAAAATAAGAACTACCCACTTCCTTTTTTTTCTGTGCGGAAAACCCCTCTGTTACCACCCACCGGTGGTTTTGTCGGACTCCCACCTCCTGGCTTGTTAACCATTAATATCATTTTTTTTTAAGTGTGGAAAACCCCTCGGGCCTTCAGCTGCAGCTGCAGCTTTAAGATACTAAATTATAATTTTGTCATCCAAACTATAGTTAAACCGCCGTAAGCTTGGCCCTCCTGATGGTTTGGGGGACGCGGGGCGGAGGTGCATTCAACCAATTAGCTAGTGCGTCGCTGTCCGCCGGCAGTGACTGACGTGAAAGCATGGCTGTACGTGTTATTTTTCTTAAGACTGCTACACACACGGTATTATTTTGCAACATGGATAATCTGCCGACTCTGCGTCACAAAAAGATTTAAAAACTTGAAGTTCGGCTTACAGAGGTTCTACTGTGAAAGTTCTAATAAAGAATATTTATTATTTTACTTAATTTTTAAATTGTATCTGAATATAATTTACATGATGAAGAAAAGGTGATTTTATTAAAATTATTTTACAGTATTATATTTTACAATTAATCATAAAAACTTACAATACACTGATATTATAATACAAGGAAATAAATTCGATTTTTATTACATCGTGTGTAGATTAAATCTCAAACAAATAAATCTGAAGATATCGAGTTAGTACATCGTGTCATGTATAGCCGAGCGCATCACCCGCCCCGCGTCCCGCAAACCATCAGGAGGGCCAAGCTTACGGCGGTTTAACTATACATATACCTACATGCATTTTATTTTGATACGACAATTAGATGTAAGACCCTTCAGAATTGTTACATTCTTAGTTCGTGTGATAGTTAGTTAACAGTTAGCACTGAAGCTAATAGTCTGTAAGTAATTATCATAAAGAGTCGAACTGAGCAGCCTAATTAATTTAATTTATTAATTAAGAAATTGTAAAGTAATTATTTTTATCTAAAATAAGCCTCTCGTCTAATAAATATTAGTAGTACTAGTTTCGAACCACATTAAGAAAATCGACCACTAAAATACTTAGTTAAAAAAAAGAGTTGTACCTACAAACGTAAACAAAATTATGCAAAAAAGCAATACAAAATTATTCCTGAGGTTGGACTCCAAAGACTTCAAGTAATGAGTCGGCGCTTAACAATACGCGAAAATATTTTGAAGTCGACGGAAGTAACCATAGACAACATTCTGTTATTTAAAGAAAGGTTAAATAGAATATTATTATGCGATCGCTAAATCGAATGTTGCTCTGGTTAGGACGTCAACTTTTAAACAACATTCTATGCGAATCACTTGTCACATATTGTACACACTTTATATTTAATCATCTTTTATTGTCTTTTATATATAATTCAAAGGATTTATTAAATATCAAACTGCATTTATTTACAAGCAAAGTAAAAGCACTCTAACTTTGTTCCGTATAAGACAGCGTTTCTTGTACATAACTTGACACCAGAAGATCAATTCTCGTAATAAAAGTTCGGTCTCAATTCGGATATAATTATTTAAAGTACCTACATAAGTTTTAAATATACAAATACAACGGCTTAAATTGGATTCTACCTGACTGACAAAGGCAAACTGCAGCCTCCTGATATAAAACAAAGGTTCCTAAAACGGAGTCGGGTTTGTTGTACTTGTTTAGTTTCCTCAAGTGCCTGAATTTCTGCCTTTTAAATTTTTGACACCATTGAATTCAGAATCTTGGTGAGTGGCTGGCACAAAAGTCTTAAAAGTGCGCTTCTTTCTTTACTATTCACTCTTACCAGCACCAATGGACCTAATACGCTGTTCCATGAAATCAAGGAGCAACCTTAAGCCCTGGGTAGATAAGGGAAAAACTTATTTACTCATTATTTTCTAGTACTTCAACTT